ATACTAATGGCTCTGTAATCCCTTAATTCAGGGTAGAGTCAGGACAACTGGATGGAGCTGAGCATTTACCTGCTGGATGTCCTTCTTGATGCCATGCAAAGTTCACAGTAGATATTTTTTCTTTGTGCCCTAGCAGAGAAACATCTGCTGCTACTAGGATCAAATTCTCAATCTTCTGAATGGAAGGTGAGCATCTTCACCACTAGGCCACCATACCGCTCCTACATATGTATACATATTAGTTCACAATAAACTAGATTTGCCATAATAAAGTTGACTTTACCAGTTTGGAGAGGTATTTTGGAGTTCTTCACAATATCTTGTTGATTTTACTACTTTGAAAATTTGGCACCCTCAACAAACAGGGGATCTTCACTAGTTAACCATAGCAGATTAAAAAAACACCAGCACCGGCCCTGAAATTTGGTGAACTCCACTTTGACATCATGCCAGAAAGTCCATTTATTTCAACTCTGTTTCATCTTTTCTTTTATCCAGTTACCAGTTCATGACAACAGCTTTCCATCTTATCACCTGCTAGATGAATGTATTCAAGGGTGTATAGTCACAAACATCACCATCCATAAATATCTATGTAGTGGCGAGAGATCTAGAGCCCTGGATCTTCAGCTGAGGGAGGAAGAGGTGGGAAAAAGAGAAGAAGGGGTTCAGGTTTCCCATCAGGTTTTGGTGGGAAGATTTTGGGAGGAGAGAGGTGGCTAGAATCTGGAAAGGGGAGAGGAGACAATGAAGGAAGCTGACCCAGATGATTGGGTGAGTGGGTAACCAGAGCGGGTGACAAATGCAATGGAGGTGAACTGACTGAGGCAAGTGAACAAGCGAATGACCAGAGGGGCACCAGCCCCCCCCCCAAGTACAATGGAAATGACATGAGCTGGGTGAGTGGGGGTATCTTGGTGAGAGATCAGAGCAGACTGACGTCCAGAATGATGGACATTGAGACACCCAGTGAATGACTGTGCAGCAAGGAAGAGCCTGGGTACCTATAGAAAGGGGGTAGAGGAATCCGGACTCTAACGGCCCTTTCAGGAGAGACACTACATTTACATACATGCCCTTGCTATCTATTTTTCTCTCTTTCCTTCAAGCTGTTTCTTGGTTGATTTCCTATTCTGGTTACATTTGAATATTGTTTAGTTGATTGTCATATGTTAATCATTTTTTTTCCTTTTGCATTTTTGATCAACTGATACATTTTTTGTCAGAAATAATTTTATTTTTTGATCTTCTTCTTTCTATGATTAGTTAAGGCCCTGTGGGCCTACAGTATAAATAACAGGCATTTGCCTGCAGTTTCTCAGTTCCCTTTTTGAGTCAATAAGTACTGTTGCAGCTATGCTGGTCTGGTTCTTGCCTACTAAAACTCACTACACACAATAATTCTCCTCACCAAAAATCCAGAACTGTCCCAATTAAGTCCAGCCAAAAGTAAACTAATGCTAGTCCATAGAGCCAATGGCCAATGAATCTACAAGGCACTTGAAAGTTTTCCAAACAAGATAAATCCACCAGGTAAAATTAAATCCACGATACATGAATGTTCACAGAGCACGATCCAAGTCAAGGCACAGTGTCAATCCAAAGCAAAACGGGAATCACAATGATCAGGAAACATACAGCCACCTTCTGGTGCAGCCCATCAAGAGGGCTGAGGCTGCCTCCTCATGAGTAATCAAGCTGACCTTTGCTGCTCCTGCCTTTTTTTCTGCCTTATGTGTTCTCAGTTCAAGTGCAGAAGGCAGTTCCTCTTCCTCATCACTGACCAGCTGCAGCTGTGCACTTTCCCCACCTGAAGTCTCAGGGCTGTCCTGCTGCACCTATGCTTCAGCCAATTCCCTCTCAGACGGCTGCTTGGAGCCATTGACCAACTCCCCTCCTGACGTGCCCAGGACTAGTTCATCCTCCTCTGAACTGACATCTGGAGAGCTGTCTGGGGAGGTGTCTGGGGGAGTCGTCACAGGACATTATTTCTGATCAATCTGGTGTTGGCTTCAGAGTAGATGTTTCCCAGAATAATCATTAAGGATATCTAGAAATCAGTTTTCCATATCAAGTCAAGGACATGCATTTTCCTAGTCTATGTGAAGATAATTGAATGCCTTCATTACTATTAGTATTTCTTTTTCAGATGCCTATCTAATTCTGTTTTTCATCTGAAGGTCAACTTTAGCTTCTTGATCAAGAGAGCGTGTTCCTACTTGATTGGGGAAATTGATCTGTCCACAATGACCAGGTGAAACATTTCACCTTTCTTTCTTCTAATATTTAAGTGAAAATTGCCCTCAGAGAATATATGTCCATTAGATCTACTTTTCACTCATTGTCGGCAACAAGCAAAATCAGTGTTGGACAGTTTTATCAGAGCCTCGTTCATCTTTCTCTTTTACATGTTGACTATAACCTCTTCCTCCAACCTTTCTCCATATGTTCACTGTAGTGTCACTCTTTCTCCAAAGATGTGCCTATTTGTGTTTAGTTTTATGAAAGTTGTAATATAGAAGGTTGTGTTAAAACTCCAGATGATGTCTGTGTGAAGCAGAGGAAAGCATGGTTATGTGATTATTGCTTCTTTTGAAGTTTTTGCAAAGGAATTTTGAATGTATCTTAAAACTGCATTCATCTTTTTGAAACCAGATCACTCTGCCAACTTAAGGGAAGTCTGTTCCAGGAAGGCACGAAGAAGCCATACTCATTGTTCCAACACAAAAATAGCTATCTCCAGAACACCATCTGTCAACATAGAAATAGCTTCTTCTTTTTTTACAATTTTGGACTAGACTTATGTTTAGTACTTTAAAAAGACATCACCACCTTAGGTAACTGTTATACTTAACAACTCCAGTTTGAATGATGCCAACAAGCCTGTACGTTTCAAAGAATTTACCCATAAACAGAGGAACATTTACTACTATTAGCATTCTTCTAGCTGGAGCACATTAACATATTTATTGTCATTTAAAAGTTATTGTATTGTTTTAATCATTTTATTATATCTCATCGTCTTTTCTTTTACACACTGCCAATATCTTGTTTCTCTAGAATTTTGCTCTCCAATTCTAGGCCTCCAGATACCTGCACAAAATAACAGAATAAAAATTAAACCTGTCTGTGAACTATATGGACCAAAACAATATGCCCATTTAAAATCTGGCTTTAATCAAACTTCACAGAAAATGATTGAATTAATACAAATATCGGATTGTGAGAGTCAGCTGTCAGAAAAATGACTCAGTAATGTATATGAGCCCTGGATTACCTCATGTTTAAAGATAGATTGTTGTATGTATGTTTTAAAGAAGAAAGATGAAAGTCATTATAAACAAATCAAGTGTAGACTGAACCATCATTTAATACTGCTGCTACAGATGATTGATTAATCTAATTAAATGTATGCAACCCTTTCAGTGTTATTTAGAGCAGGGGTCTCCAACCTTGTCGACTTTAAGCCTGGTGGACTTCAACTCCCAGAATTCTGGGAGTTGAAGTCCACCAGGCTTAAAGTCGACAAGGTTGGAGACCCTTGATTTAAAGATCATTTAGCCTATTACCAATGCCTTATATTTATATTTGTATGAAAAAGACTGACAAGCAGACTTAGAACACAGTGCAGCTGAGAGTCAAACATGCTTGAAACTAATTGAAATAATTAAACTATAGGTATTTTTCTCAAAACTTGTATTTAATTATTCCACTGATTATGCTTACAATCTAAGAACAAAATATCCACAGAAATGTAGGCATTTCCAACCCTCCCCCTTATTTTTAATCTTCAGATTAATGCAGGAAAATGCACATTATGTCCTTTCATATAAGAGTTTACAAAGATCAAAGTCCATCCCCACAAGATAATTTCTATCATAGCGATATTGTTGTCCAGGGGTGGGTTCTAATTTTTTTTACTACCGGTTCTGTGGGCGTGGCTTATTTTGTGGGTGTGGCTTGGAGGTCATGTGACTAGGTGGGCATGGCTAGCTGGTCAGAGTCATTTCTGGAAGGTCCTCACACTTACGACCAGTCCTCGCACTTACGACCTGACTCATTTATTTGCTTTTAACACTGATCAGCTGTAGGACGGCCCTTTGAAGCCCCGCAGCAAGAGTTTAAACATTTTTTTTCCCTCTAGTCATCAGCTGGGACTCAGGAGGCAGCAATAGATTGGGGGTGGGACCAAATAAAAGGTAAGAATAAGGTGGGGGGGAGGGCGGGGGGGAGAACCGGTTCGGTGACGTCATATCGTCACCGCTAGCCGAACCGGACCGAACCGGGAGGAACCCACCACTGTTGTTGTCCCAGTATGCATCTTTAACATTTTTTTAAAAAAAGGCTTTTGTTGTCAAATTCAGATTCATTTCTATATCTTGATATTTTTAAAAGAAAAGAAAATATTATAGCTGAGTTACTATATTTTTATGTTTAAATCCTTGCCTAATTTAGTGGCATATTCCATAATTTGGGGAACCTGGATTTTCCTATTTTCAAGATGTACCTATTTCCATCTTAAAATGATCAAAATTAGTAAATCTCAAGTTGAACAGTTATTATCCATTCTCTCACTATGGGGCCATGAAAAGAAGGGATGTCCCAGCTAAGAAAATATTTTGTCCCACTTTGGAATGGTCCTAATCATGCTGAACGAAGCACCCCTTTTGTTACCTGGTCTTTGTTGCTTGGGTAGACCACAAACTCTTGTGTGTCAAAGTAAGTGTGCTTGTTGCTTTATGAACAACTATCTTCCTGGGCTTCTAAATCTACAGATGAGCATTCATTTTCCTTTTATCAAGCCACTCTAAATATGGTTCTTGTCAATGTGTCAGTAATCCCTGTGTTTAAGAGACATAAGACACTGGTGCACTGGGACATTCTTTCTGCTCAACTCTTGCTGACGTCTGATGCTTAAAACAGACCATGCTTTCATCCTTCCGTGCATTGTCGCAACCCCCTAGGAATATTTTTAAAAGGTGCTGCAGTTACTGGGGAGGTGAACATTTGCCAACCAAAGCAGATGAGGGCGCCTTGGATTCAGTCTCTGTGAATGCTGCATTGTAGTTTCAGCTTTACATCAGCCTGATAACAGAAGGGACCATGTCTGGCTTTGGCTACAGGCGAGAACTTAGTAAATATGAAGAGCTGGATGAAGATGAACTCCTTGCTTCTCTTACTGATGAGGAGCTGAAGGAGCTAGAGAAAGAGTTGGAGGATATTGAGCCTGACCGGAGCCTTCCTGTGGGGCATAGGCAAAAGAGTCTAACAGAAAAAACTCCCACAGGAACTTTTAGCCGGGAAGCACTGATGGCCTACTGGGAAAGGGAGACTAAGAAACTTCTGGAAAAAGAGAGAATGGGGGCATGTGAACAGGTAGGAGAATAACTGCATTAATTTGGCCCAGAAATGACTCATATTCAGTAGAATGGTTTCCTCGCTCTGTATTTTCCATCAAACTAAAAGCAAATTGATCAAAAATGGGTTACCCACCAAGCTCCGGACGGCTCCTGATCTCCGCACTTTCCGCGCTGGCCTGAAGACATGGCTTTTCCAGCAAATTCCCTGACCGACTATGAGGCTTTTAATTTTGGGGGTTTTAAATTCGGATTGGTTTTTAGTATTTTATTGTTGTGGTTTTTATTGTGTGAGCCACTTCGAATCCTACGGGAGAAGGGCGGCATATAAATTTTAATAATAAATAATAAATAAATAAATAAGAGCAGAAGCTTTAGTAACGTATAGAAATTGTAGAGTAATATACATTTTCTTCCTCTGTGCTATTAAATTATCATCCCAATGAGTTCATTGCTTCAGAACTCTGCTTCCCCCTGTGAAGAGCTTTTTTTATATACAAATATTCTTTTTACTTGAAGGAACATCCAAAAACGTCATCAAAGCACAAGCTGAGAAGTACTGACATAGCCACAGTTGGAATGATTATGTATTTTTGCTAAATGTCTCACTCATATCTCAGGTTCAGTTACACATATAATATCAAATTCTGTTTAGCATTGTGCTACAACAGATGTGTCCTGCCACATTTCAGACTCATAGCATTTAATCTGCTTTAAGGAAAACTGAATTCCAGCAACAGAAGCTAGTACAAAATAACTCAAGGGAAGATGCTAATTATTGGTTGCCTTTCATGTATTATTATATACATGGAGAGGACCGAATATTTAAGAGTCTTATTTTGATTTTCAAATAATTTATGTGATGAGGGCCTGTGGCAATATGCATGCTAACTTCAATCTACTTCTTTCTATTATTTTGTACATCACATTTTCCAAGATTTCAAATTGTAGAAAAGTGGTAGAAGTTAAGAAAGTAGCATGCATAAGTCTGCACTTCAAATATTTGCTTCTGGCATATTGAACGTATAGCAAAGTGAGGACAATGCAAGTATACTTCCTTCTTTTTTTATCATCAGAATAAATTTATTGTCTGAATAAGGCCAGGCATAAATCTCATCACTAGTATTACACATGGTGGTAATTGAAGTTCTTTACTGATTTGTTGAAAATTGTTTCTTGATGTATCAACAAGTCTCTATCAACTTTCTGTCCATCCCTTCTCCTTCCCCTTATCCCTTCCATTCTGTCTCCAACTCCCCAAATTTAAAGTTTTTAAAGAAAGTTCATAATACAAGCTTTATAAACTCAAAAAAAGATTGGGATGGGAAGGAGCACTGCAGCTTCTAACATGTACAAAAAGTATTGTAATCAAAACATGTGTGCCACCCAGAGTCACTTGTTGAGATGGGCAACTATAGTAATCAAATAAATAATAAATAAAAATCGTACAAATGACTGCTTGACATTTATCGTAGATGATTGATGAGACAGGTAGATAGGTAGGTAGATACAGTAGATAAAAGATAGAGAGAATGATAGAGAGATACATAGAGGTAGTCTTCAACTAATGACCATAAGTGAGCCCAGAATAACAGCTATAAATTGTTAAGTGGATCACTCTGTCTCCATGCTCAATTTTGTGGTGGTCATTAAGCAAATGCCACAGTTGTTAAACAAATCCATTTTATCTAAAATCATTTTTTGCCATAAACCTGAAGTAAATACCAGCAAAAATCATGGTGACATGACTGTAGAACACTGCAAATGGCCATAAATAAATAAATGCAAGCCAGTTGCCAACTGCCCAAAATGTGATCACATGATCACAGTGTGTGTGCGGCCATCGGAGTTCTGGAACTGTGAAGTCTGTTGTAATTTTGAACTGTCACTAAGTAACCAGTCGATAAGTGAGGACTACAGGTAGAAAGCAGATAATGAGCAAGCAATAGAGGAGGGGTGTCAAACTTAATGCTGGCGGGCCGGATCTGGCCCATGGGGTGCTTAAATCCGGCCCATGGGGCCTGTCTGGAAATATCGAAGGACCAGTCCGCAGTGCCTCTGCTGGCCAAAACAGGCTGCATGCACCCCCTCCCCCATGGCCCGTTTTTTGCCTCCCGGTGGCCTGTTTTTCCTCGGCAGAGTGCTGCAGGAGGCTGGGGATGCCAAAAACAGGCCACACAGGGGCCTTGGGAGACCTCCATATGGCCCATTTTTGGCCAGCAGAGTGCTGGCCTGCAGCACCCTGCCGTTCCTGTTTTGGCCGGCAGGGTGCAGCAGGAGGTGTCCGTCCCATCTCCCCCTCCCCGCTCCCTGCCCCCCCCCCCGGCCCATGGAGGAGAACTACAATGCTGATTTGACCCTCGAAGAAATCCAGTTTGACATCCCTGCAATAGAGAGAAAGAGCGAGAAAGCTTAAATGACTCTAATTAGAAAATCTATCTTTCAACAGATTTTTTAAACTGTGCCTTAAAGAAGAAAAATGGACATAAATTCACCTCTTCCTATTTTAACCTCCTAAACAAAGGCCATACATTTCAAATTTCAGCCCAGTCTCTATCAGTGATATCATCATAACAACACAGTGCTGACCCTAACAGCCATAATAAGAAAAGAAAGAAATTGACCTATGTCTATCAAAAGATTGGGATGAAGCAAAATCTAAGGAAAATTACAAATACTTGGTTGGACAATAATAAATTAAACTAGAAGAAAAAGATGTCTAAATAACTACAGGTAAGACGGTCTCTCTAGCTAGCCAAATATTACCGTTTTTCCCCATATATATATTTGTTTCTTTTATAACAAAACATTGTTTTTCTAGAGCAGAAAGTTGGAATGAAACATGACAACCAGTAAAGAGAGAATAACATTCCTAGCAGCATCCAGATTACAGGTCTTTATTTAACTCTGAAGTGACAGAGTCGTGTTTCATTCTTATCAGAACCCGTCTGAAGGAATTTATCCTGGTGCTTGAGCCAGGGTGTTGGTATGCAGTCCAATACTAATAGCTACTTGTCATCCCGATTTTCCAAGGGCAGAATGAAATAACAGTAACAAGCAATAATAAACAATTATAATCCAAATAAAAGTAATGACGAAAAGAGCAGGATTTAGAGTTATGTAATTCAACGGTATACCTAAATAGCAACAACAGTCATTATGTCTGGAACTGGGAATGTACAAGCACAGTTAATTCTAGACTTAATTTCAACCTACACTTGACACTGTTTGGCACTTCTCTGAAATTGTTCTGTGTTTCAAGCCCAATGGTTGTAATTCAAGCTTCAAACTTTAAAGACAAAGCACTAACACTGCAGGCATGGAGGCTGCCTGGATAATATTCTTTTACAGTTCAACAGTATTCTAGCTCCCTATCCCAACACACACACATGCACACGCGCACGCACGCACAAATACACAAACTCTGTGGGTGTCTGCCTGTGTAACAGCAAAAGGAGAACAATAACAGGTTAGGCATAATTAATGGCCTTGAGTATACTGCTGATACTCCATTTTTCATCGGGGACCTTCACATGGTTGGAAGAAAACTAATTGTAGCAGCTTGAAAGAGGAATATGCAATAATGGGAGGTCTAAATCCTCTGTGCTTAATTGCTGGATCCAGAATTTGAATATCAGAGTTTTTTTATGACCTTGGTTATTAATATAGATATTTGTATTCTTCCAGGATTTTTTATGCTTATACAATTATACAATTATACAATTTTTCTGCTTATACAATTAAGAGGGCTGGATTAGAATCCTGATGCTTTTTTTGTAGAGAGGAGGGAACAATGAGTATTTCGGTGAAATTCAAGCAAAAAAAAAAGGTGTTGTGGTCAATCCAAGTTTAGCAAAGAAGGGATCCAAATAACTTAATTAGGAAGCACTCACTGAAGAAACAAAACTGATAGCATCAACTGTTTTTTTTTTCTTCATTGACATATCTCTATGTGAGATGTCAACACTGAAATTGTGTGTACTGATTTTGTCCTGTTCTAATAGTGTAGAAGACAGCCAGACAGATTAGAAAGGGATGAGCAACTTTTTCTTGTCCCAAAATCTGACCTGGACTTCGAGTGGCATGCTAAAAATCCATAAATAGGGCATATACACAAATAAAAACAAATGTATTTACATTCATACTTATTTACAATTAATTGTGTTCTATAAATTCATTCTTGTTAAAAATTATAGTCTGGTAACAAAATCAACCAACACCAATATAATGGGTTAAAGGCCTAGACTAGAAAGTGGGAGACCGTGAGTTCTAGTCTTGTTTTAGGCACAAAACCAGTAGGGTTACCTTGGGCCAGTCACTCTTTCTTAGCCATAGTAAGGAAGCAATGGCAAACCATTTCTACAAAAGTTGCCAGGAAAACTACAAAGACTTCTCCATGTAGTCATCAGCTATCAAGACTGATTCGAAAGGACCAAATAATAATAAAAAACACCCCACTGAGTTAGCTCTCTGGGGATTTTCTACAGTGCTTACAGGGATCTTCTGCAGGATAAAATTTCAGGCTATCCCCTTTTGGAATAGAAGAATAACTGAATTACACATTATGCTAAGTAAAACATTCTAGAAATTACTCAATTACCAGTCATTTCTTATTTCCCTCATTCAAGATCAGAAATATGGTGGACATGGTGGAAGCTAACTTTCTCTCTTTGAAGGATTTTAAAATGCACCTGTCACTTCCCAGGGTGCTGTTCGCTGAAAATATCCAATATCCAAGTAAGGCAAATGGAGGTTAGAGTAGTACTCGTTATGCTATTAACCCTCAGTAATATTGTGAACACTTTCTAATAGATGTTATGATACATAATCACAACATTCTTAAATTCAAACATCTTCAATAAATTGTGATCAGATGCTTACATACATGGAGTATTTTTATGCAAAACTGAATTTGAGAGTACTGCTTCTCAAAACTCATCACGGTGCATAATTTTTCTATAATAATTATCTGGGAAAGATCATCATGAAAGCTCACTGAAATGAAATTTGAGGACCTTTATAGATAAAATGTATTTTTATCATTTACTTTTGATTAATTCCCTTGTAGGATTATAAGCAAGAAGAAGAAGAAGATGATGATGATGGTGATGAGTCAGAAGAAATTAAAGAAGAATATTTTACAGGAACCAACAGTGAAATTTCTGAAGAGGCACACAATGAAGAAGATGATGAAGAGGACAAAGAGGATGAGAATGAAGAGGATGAGAAGAACAATGAGGAATATGAGGAAGAGGAAGAGGATGAAGAAGATGACAGAGAAGAAGAAGCAAGTAGTACAGATGATGAAGAGGAATCTGCTGAAGAGTGTGAAAAACTTCCAAATACTACAAAGCAAACTTCACTTAACATTAAACTTAAAAACTACAATGAAAATGAAATTGTTACCAATGGTCACAATGAAAAGGAAGCAGAATATTTGAACTACAGGATGGGAGCCATGCATCCATGTGGAAATCCAACAGTGATTGAAGATGCATTAGAAAAAGTTAGGAACAATGATACTGAAACTACTGAGGTCAATTTAAACAATATTGAAAATATCACACCACAGATGCTAACACATTTTGCTCAGGCCCTACGGAATAACACTGTAGTGAAGATTTTTAATCTGGCTAACACTCATGCTGATGACAATGTTGCAATGGCTATTGCAGGTATGCTAAAGGAGAATGAACATATTGTGAGTCTGAATCTAGATTCTAATTTTGTCACAGGCAAAGGGATTATTGCGATCATGAGGGCTTTACAGAACAACAAAGTTTTAACAGAATTACGATTCCATAACCAAAGGCACATAATGGGCAGTCAGGCTGAAATGGACATGGTTAAACTTTTAAGGGACAATACTGCTATTGTGAAACTAGGGTATCACTTTGAGCTTGCTGGACCAAGAATGAGTATGACAGGCATTCTGACAAGAAATATGGATAAACAAAGGCAGAAACGAATGCAAGAACAGAAAGAACAACAGTCCAGTTGGGATGGAGTACTAAATCCAAAGGCCAAAGCATTGCAGAAAGGAACTCCTGGTTCTTCACCGTATTCATCTCCTAGAAGTTCACCTTGGTCTTCTCCAAAGATTCCTAAGAAAATTTCAGCTCCTCAAAACCAACTTTCACCTCCCAAAAGTTCACCTATGCCTTCTCCAAAGATTTTAAAGAAAGCCACTGCTATTAAAAACCAATCTCCATTGCCATCACAATCGCCGCCTCCATCACCAACTGCCCCACCTCCTCCTCCTCCACCACCACCTCCTCCTCCTCCTCTTCTTCCGCCACCACCTCCTCCTCCTCAAATAGTTGTAGAGAAAAAAGCACCCACCAGGAATATTGCTGAGGTTATAAAACAGCAGGAAAGTGCCAAGAGGGATCTACAAAATAAGCAGAAGAAGAAAAAAAGCAAGAAAAACAAACAACATGAGAATGCAATATTAAAAGAAATTAAAAATTCATTAAAGTCCATCCCAGACAATATATCAGAAGAAGGGTCACGTCCTTCAAGTCGACCTTCTACCCCAGTAAGATCACTCCACAGTGATCTTATGGAGGCAATTCGTGGAAGTAATATGAAGCAGCTAAGGCGGGTAAGTAATTGTAATTTCAGGAGTTGATTTAGAACTGGAAGCAAGTTGGTAAATAATCACACTTTAATCAAAGGATAATTATAAGGTAATAATTTTTTTATCGCTTTGTTGAAAAAGAGAAAGTACTTCCTTAACTTGCCTCTGGGAATTTGTAGGAATTGAGCACTGACAGTGAGGTCACCTTGATAGATAAGAACCCTCAAGAAGGAACTCCATAGAAAGAGATTCTTACTGAACAGCCTCTCGAACCCTCTCAGCTGGCATTTTTTGATATGGAACAAAATTACACTGCTCCTACAAATCATTGATTTCTCATTGCTGTTCTTTCACATTTCTCCTTTGGGCTAAAAAATATTTTTTCTGCAAAATAAGAGGTCTACTCATCTTTAGATTCGTTCTTGATTCCCACTTCCATCCTACTTTATTATTTGATCCGATTTTTTGTCTTAAAGTGAACTAGCATTTAAAGATAGGACAGCTACTTTGGTTCACAAGAGAGAAATCTTAATTACAGCCAGATATTCAAGACTCGTGTAATCTTGTCATATCAAGTGGGAGGCACCCTCATTGGATTTAAAGATAGGAGGGAACCTCAGTGTTCAAGATGAATTGGAAGCAAACCATTTCCGGTCCCTCAGTGGTGAAGGTTACGTGATTTTTCTGACAACCGCTCAGTGAAAAGAAAATGGAGTCTTTTCCCCCCCTGAATCATACAAAGGGAGGAATTTTGCAACTTAAAGTCTGTTTTGGTGTCTTAAACTGCTATGGAGTTGATCATTCCATCTATTTCACACAGTTCTAATGACATTCATATTGTACAGTTACAAGAAAATATCTAATAGATGGGCTTCAAAATGACCTTATGGCACATAATCAATCAATCTTTACTGAAGGACCTGAATTTCTAATATAATTAGTAATCTGTAATCTTTATTGTGGTTCAAAAGCTATTTGCATTTTTGAAATTGTACAGGGGAAATCATTTTTGTTAAGTCATATTTCTCTTATATTAGTAAATCACCCCACATTAGGGATGATAGAATTTGGTATTTGTAAGACCACTCACACAATTGATTTGGGAAAATGCCTCACAGATCATGTATGCCAGCTTCTCTAATTGGAAAGGTAATGTTAGGGCAACAGGATGTGAAAGCAAAACGAAAACAAAAAACCCCCATCTTCCTATGGGTAATCAGTTCTATAAAGAGAACACTTTATATGTCAGTGAGAGTTCTACAAGTATAGGTATTCAGTTCTAATGTGCTAAAGTAATTGATAGATATCCAGAAAAGTAATACAAAAGGAAGATCTGATTTTTATTGGGTGTCTACTTACTCTTTTAAGGGAAATGTAATCATTAAAAGAATCAGCTCAGAAATCAGGTCTATTTTAACATTTGATTGATCTACATTATAATATTCTACCAAAATTGTCCAACATTTACTTAGCTTTGTTGTTTGCATTTGTACAGATAAGAACAATGTGTACTTGAAAAAGTAAGGAATCCAAATAGTCATTGGAATTAAGTATACTTGCTCCAAGAACAACTTAATTTAGGGGAAAGAGCGAACAAATTCTTTTGTAACCTGGAGTAACTTTTTTTTTCAGTACAACAGTAATAAATATTTATTTATAAAAAATTACTTATTTATAAAATTTATTGGCTGCCAAATATTTACCTTCTTTACTATAAGTTAATATTATATATTTACTATAGGGTAAATATTATTTATTTATCAAAAATACTTAGAGAGGGGAAAATGGAAGGAAAGGAAAAGAGGTATAAGAAAAGAAAAGGCTACAAACAATGGGCGAGTATATTTTAAAAACCATATAACAGTGATTCAATTTTACCTATTAGAATATTTTGTATTAACTTAAAAATGTAAATCATTTTTTAAAAAGTTATCTTGGCTATTGAGCACTGGGGGAGTGTAGTTGATGATCTGGTGTGAGGGCAGATATGTATGTATGTATGTTTCGGGAGGGATTCTAAGTGCAAAAGTCCTTTCAACTTCAAGCACTTATGGTATTTTGACTTTAACTTTCCATGGGAAAAATCAACCTCAATCTGAAGAGGGGAATTGAGATGTATAAAATGCCCAATTTATCTGTTCAATGCTTCAATGCCCTCCTCAGATTAGCCAAGCCAAACTCACTGTAGAAGCTGTGGCCCAAAATTTGGGGCCTACTTTTGAAAAGCATAAAGAAAAATAAAATTATGTTATTCAAAGTGACATAGCTACCATGATTTTTGCAGACGTAAAGGCCATTCTGTTCCAATAGTGCAGGGGCCTCAAAACTTGGCAACTTTAAGACTTGTGGAGTTCAAGTCCGAAAATTCCTCAACCAGCCTTGCTGGCTGAGAAATTCAGGGAGTTGAAGCCCACAAGTTTTAAAAATGCCAAGTCTGGAGACCTCTGCAATAATGGATGGAAAAGTCCTCAGTTTAAGAGAGGACTTGATGAGTTTCAAGGAGTGAATCTATGTAACTTAAGATATACATTTTGCTGCTTTGCCTCACCTCTCAGTAGAGATTCTAATTTTTGATCACATATGCTCACACTGAGATCACACAGTTTTACATCCTTGCCATCAAGCCGAATATGTTTCTAAAACATCTATATGTTTTTACTATTACAATACAAAGTACAATAGGACATTGAAACCTGTGGGGTTTTCTCTACTTAGATGATTTATTCTTTTAATTCTAGTTCATGTTCCTAATGTAAGCAAAACACCTTTCTTTTTAGGTGGAGATCCCGGAAGCTCTGCGGTAAAAGTCAGCCATGAAATGAAGATTTGTACAAATTCTCAAAGAGGTACTCAATCATTCTACAGTGATAAAACAGGCTGATGTAAACAGCTTCAAAAGTACACTCTTAGATTTGAGATATAAATAAAAAGTGCCTTTGAAACTTCAAGCAATACTTTGAAGAATTCAACAGTCTTTTTGTAAATATGGAGAATACTTTTTTTAATTTAATAAGATTTCTCAGAAGAAATAGTTTATGTAGTTATTTATGTTGATATCAAATAGCACTTCATGGAACATGTCCTTTCTATTAAAAAAGCACCTGTTCAATTCACTGTGTTTCTTTGCTTGCATCATACACTTGCAATAAATATGTTTTGAGTTTCCAAGTGGAAAAAAACAGTATCTGTCTTGGTTTGTTGTGAAAAGTATTATATGGGTTAAGAACAGTGGTGAGTTTCTACTGGTTTGCCCTGGTTCGGGCAAACTGGTAGTGGCAGTGGTGGGAGGCTCCTCCCACTCACCGGATGTTATCATGGATGCTTTGCACATGTGCAAAAACGCCGCATGTGAGCAAAGAATGCACGCACGCATGCTCACAGGTCTGAACCAGTAGCAAAGGTAGGTGGAACCCACCACTGGTTAAGGAGTACTAAGTGATAGTCTGAGAAGAATCTTTCTACGCTGAAGATTTGGTGAGGATTTGTGTGGTGTTATGATCATTACACGAAAAAAGCTAGAGATGCTTGGTGCCATGCTCTGTGTGCATGGTAGCAGTTGTAAACAGCAGCTATAAAATTCAAAAGTTGATTTCCACAGTCAAGTGGAGCCTTATTATAGTATGTCATATTAGCACACATTTCATCAGAAGAATTTTGTTTCACAAGAGTGATTAACAAGATCGATGATTGGATATTGTGGCTATTTAGTGACTTATGGCACATGGACGAAACATCTCTGTTATTTTCTTGTAGACTGTGCTAGATAAAATTGCACTAGCAAGTTAATTTTACCAGTTTTCTATTCCTCTTTGACCTAGAGAGAATTATGAGATTTAGTGGCCTGTCATATCATTGTCCCTTCTGGGCTGTCTATGAGGATTGCATATGAGATATACTGCTTCCAATGGTTCTCCTTGTTCTGCTCATTATGACATGTTTGACAGGGCTTGGCAGCTTCCCCTCTCCAGGTTAATATTTACATGAAGTGACTGACAAAGATCATCCATCAAGATGAGGTGAGTATCCACACTGGATATATGCCAGTAATATCAGGTGCATGTCCACTCCAGGAGACTATAAGAACCTTGATGGGTGAGGCTTACAATCAGTTCCAGCAAGACCTTGATTCTAGGAGTCATTGGAACACAGTAGTATCCCATCTTTGATAGATGGGCCCCCATGCAGAGCAGGTTACCTTGGACTCACAGCTTAGAAGATCAAGTGGAGTCATGGCCAGAAAGGAGTTTTATCTGCTCAGAGTCATTTTTGGTTGGAGTCACATATAAGCCTTGGTGAGAAACCAAGTATATAATAAACAAATCAATCAAACTGTGGTTATACTGCAATACTCCAGTACTGCATTATTAAGACCTTGAAGAAGAAATAACATTACGCCCAACAAATAAACCATGTTTACTAAATGCCAGTTTCTTTTAACCACTTTGGAAGGCTGCAAAAGACGACGACGACGACGACGACGATGATGATGATGATATTAAATTTCTAAGATGCCCAACTCTCAATTATTATAATCCATGTAAGGCAGATGGAGAAATAGATATTTAAAATGAATTTGCTATCCATAAAATAATACATACATGGTGGAAGACCATAGTTAATTAGGCATCACTAAAAACATGTAAAAAACATTGTTGCCATTCAAAGCATGCTTGCTATTGAAAACATTGCTGTTTAATGGCAAAGCTATATGTCCAAAATGCAGAAGCTAGCAAATGATTCCCTCCTTGAACTTTGTGAAACTTTCCTTAATTTCAATTCTTCAAGACTATGGGTCCTTGGGTTACAACTGTTCATTCAGTAGCCATTCAAAGTTACAATGCTGCTGAACGAGACAATTTACAACCAGTTCTCGGACTACCCAGTGTACCTGTAGTCATGTGATCATAATCTGGATGCTCTGGAGCCCGGCTTGTGATTATGACTTTACAGCAAGTCATGTGACCACCATTTGTGATCTTCCCTGCTGGTTTCCCACAAGCAAAATCAATGAGGAAGCCAGAAGGAAAAGTTGTAAGTTGTTTCTCTAAGTTGTTCCTACTGCTCCCCCCCCCCACAGGAGCCTCCCTATGAAGTACAAGAACCCAGGGATCTGATACTCCATAGAAGCTCTCTGTTCACTTGCAGTGAGAACCACCAGCCTGCAACACTCCCCCACTTGTTCAAAACTCTTCCCACCAGCTGCTTGACTCCAATCACAGGAGATTCGCTCTTAATGACAAGCACAATCTTTGAGTTATGATGGGAACCAGGATTGCTGGGATTGCCATTGTTAAACAATGCAGTCATATGCCATCATGCTTTAAGTGTATTGCTTAATGACAGAAATTGCAGTCCCAATTGCTGTCATAACATGAGGACTATCTAGATTGAATTATTTTGTTTGCTTTAATCTCCAGGGAAAAAAGCATGCAACTAAGTGTGTAACAGGCAATTATAAAAAAACTAATTTGGGAATGCATAGAGGCTGCAAAATTACGTGCTTTCACTGTACTTTTTCTCTGATCAATAGTTTGGAAACAAATGAGGTTGGAGGAAATATTTCAGAGGTGCTCCTGCTGACCTCTTATTATTCTCTGAGTCATTCCTGTGATTAGGAGAAAATTACAGGAAGAGTATTTGCAAATTCAATAAAAGCATCTAAATCTCCTTTTCTTTCCATATTTGTAGCCTATAAAGCTACAACAAAAAGTTGCCCTCCTTTGCCCTTAAGCACACAGAAAATTTATACAAATTCAGCATGATTTGTTGAAAGAACATAAAATGTGTGTCAGTAGCATACAATTAGAAGGTTTAGCACACTGAAAGCATTTCGGTTTTTAAAGATAAGAATTTCTAAAGAATACACTATTGCAATACACTTTTATGTTTCCTTTCATTCTTCTATTTGTCCAGTGCAGATACTTATCTAGATTGCATTATTTATACAGAATTAAGCAAAAAGAGTAGCTGCATCAGCTTGTTCCTACATTATTTATACATTTAAGTCCAAGTGTATTCAGGGGAATTTACTGCTCACCATAGTGGATCAATGCAATACAGGTAGTACTCACTTACTGATGATTACTTGTTCAGTGACTGTTTATACTTAGATAGCACTGAAAATAGAGATTTATGACTGGCTCTTGAAGTTGTAACTGTCATAGCATCCCTACAGTCATAGGGACCTTATGCATCCCTACAGTCATGTTCTTGTCAACCAACTCAGAGTCCTACAATCACATGATCACCATTTGCAACCTTCACAGCAGCTTCCAACAAGTGAAGTCAATGGCTAAGCCAGCAGGAAGTTGCAAATCACAGTCATATGATATCATGCTTAACAACTGCACTGCTTAGTGATGGAGTTACTAGTTCCTACTGCGGCCAGTGAGGACTACTTATAACTATCTTAGAAAAAAATATTCTTGGGCCACGTGACACAGAGGGTTGCTTTGGATAAGTCATAATTCCCATTTTATACCGAGAATACACTCCCAGCTGAGAAGATATCAGCCTGAAAAGACAGCCTGAAAAGATGAGAGTTTTTCACCACATAAAGTCAGCATCCAATTTAAATGAATATGATGTGCATGAAATATGATCTTACTAACCATCATTATGAAAAGTACTGTACTTTTGGATACTAAATTCTAATAAAAATTGTTAAGGACTATACTTGGCAGAATCATAGATTAAAAGTTGTACTGTTCTAACATATATTTGCATTAGAGTCAATTTTTAAGTGCTTTAATAAAATTTCTAATATGATTTGTCAAGCTAATGGTTTTTACTATCAGGGCAACAAACCTTAGTTAGTCTTCCTTTAACAATAGTCAAGTTTTCCCCAAGTTGAATTCAACATGTTCATGCAGGGTTTTTTTGGCAGCAACATGGAAGGAGTTTGCCACTGTCTTCTTCAGAAGTGTTTTTTTTTCAAGTGTAAATTCTTTCTGATGGGGTCTAAATCCAAATACTAATGAGATCCAATCCTGCTTAACAAGTTCTGTTCTAATCCTGTTTTACAAGTTCCACCAAGGTTAGCTCCCTGCTGCCACTTGCTACCTTTGTTTTATTGATTTGCAAGTCCTTCTATGCTTGAAATCTACTACATAAAAGTAATTTATGTAGCAATATTCAGAATACTTGAACTTTAACCATTTGTTCAATGACAGTTCAAACTTACAGCAGTACTTTAAAAAGTGATTAAAGACCAATCATCATACTTAATGGTTTTTGCAGCATCCCTGTGGTCACATGATCAAAATTCAGGTAATTCAGCTGCAATATCCTCCAGTCATGGGATCATCATTTCCAACCTTCCAGAGGCTTCCAACAAGCAAAGTCAATGGGGGAAGCCAGATTTACTTATCAACTATATGATTCAATTAAGAACATGGTGATTTGCTTAATAACTATGGGGGGAAAGATCATAAAATAGGATGCAAGTCAATGACTGCATTGCTTAGCAATGGACATTCTGATCCCAGTTTTGGTCATAAGTTGTGGACTACCTGTTACATGATAATCTACCGCCCAATTGGGCCAACATATTCTTCGCTAGCTAGACTATTAGTTTTGAGTCATGAATGTGAGGTGGGCAGCTATATAAATTGAATATTTATTACTTTATATTTACTTTTGGTTGCCAATACTGTGTGGTATGAGAATGAGATATGGTGCACAGTGAAGATTTCTCAGCTGCTGTTCCAGTTGCATTTTCATTTGCACTCAGAACTTGGGACTATCTTAAGGTCAGAAGTATTTGACAGCTCAAGTCCCTTTGTTGTTCATTCTGCAGGCCACTTTTTCACTCAAACACACAGGGAAAGTTTCCAGATTGATAAAGGCATTACCTGTATATCATTAGGGCTGCAATGAAGTAGATTCTTTTTTCCTCTTCTTTCCAATGATGTAAAATAGATAGCACAAAATTAGAACCTTGGCTAGAGCAGAATAAAAACGGAAGGTCGTATCTGAAGCGCTGTCCTTGGGTTTCTTGGAAGAACTCCTAGCCTCTAAAATGACAGCACAGCTGTTCATAGAAAATTGTGCACAAAGATGACTAAATTCTGTATCTAGTTCTTGGACTATGCAGTGCTGCTACTTGTCATACTTGTAGCAATGATCAAATAACAGCTGCTGTGACAACCTGGCTATAGTTCAAGCATACCCTGGCAGA